TGTGACGTGGCGTCCTGCAGGTACGGGCTGATGAAGTGCGGCAGCGTCTCTGTGACTCTCTGGAGGGCTGTGACGGCACTCAGCAGGTAAATCTCATTGGTCAGCAGCTCCTTCCTGTTGGCCAGCGTGTGCAGCACGGCAGGCATCAACCTACACACACACACACACACACACACACACTTGTAATGCGTCTCACTCACACCTGTGGTTCCTACATGTCAGCTGCCTCCTCTCCGTCCTGACATACACACCTGGGTAACTGAGGGATGGCGCGGGCCTTGAGCGTGCTGACGACCTCGGCGATGCACAGCAGAGCGCTGCCCATCACGTTCTTCTCTTCCTCTGCAGACGCCACGATCTCCACCGTCTGTTGCAGAACGGGGACGAACGCCTCCTGGTGGTTGGAACCAAACGTGCGACAGAGCAGTTTGAGGCTGTACAGCGCCGTCTGACGGTTGATGCCGTGCTCCGCCTCCTCCTCCTCCTGCGTCACCTTACTGTGACTTTTACCCACGATGCTAAGCAGATCTCCGATCAGCTGCAGGAACATGTTGACCTGGATCCGAAACGAGAAGATAGATTAATCAAGCAGATGTTTAACTGATCACTTCAACCTGGTCATAATCCAATCAATTAATTTACAGCAATTAATTTGCATTTATTTTATGTTCATTAGTTTAACATCTATGTCTTATATGATGTGTTACCTGCTGCTTATCCCATCGAGTCCTGTGCTGCAGTTTGTTGTTCAGCAGCTCCATCGCTTTTCTCCTGACGGACACAAGCTGATTTCCCATCAGCCCCCTCATCACCGTGATGAAGGTATCTGTGGGCAACAAAGCGTTCACCTGGCAACAGGAGACAAAGGTGACAACGTGTTCATGAGCAAAAGTTTGAGAAAATATTTCATCGTCGTTACAGAATTTGTCAGTGGTTTGATTCTGCTCAGGTTCTCTTGTCACAAAATGACATGTTGTCAATCAATCAACCAATCAGGTTCCTGTCAGAAGAGAAAACTCGTTGAACCTTATCCAGGACGTCGTAGGTTTTGTTGAGCAGAACTCTCCAGAACTTGGCGGTGGGTTTGTCGGCATTCTCCTCGACACAGCGAGCGACGCTCTGGATGTAACGCAGGTTTTCCTCCAGCAGCCTGAACCAAACAGGAAATCATCAGCGTCGCCTTAACAACACAATCATTCCGTTTCCTGTGAGAGCGAATCAGGACTCACCTCTGCTGCAGCTGCTGAAGAGACTCGTCCACATCGTCGCCGCCTTCGGCAACCTGGAGAGTGAGCCATCAAAATGTATATAACAAAGTATGAGACTCGTCAAACCAAGTTAAATATGGAGCAAGGAAACTAGTCTGTTTCCTTTGTTTACATGTAAACAAAATGTGAATTGTTTTCCTTCACGTTTCAAAGATTTGAACGTGGCCCACCTTTCCAATGAAGCTGCTGGAGCCGAGCAGCTGAGCCATGAAGGAGACGCAGAGGAACTTGAAGTGTCTCAGCTGTTTGCTGCTGTGAGTGTCGACGCTGAAGATCAGATCCTCCACCTTCTCCTCAACTTCCTCTGGCTTCTTGGCTCCTCGTCGACCGACTCTGCGTTTCACTGGAGCTGCCGGAAAAAGAGTCAAACCTCAAACTGAGCCAGAGCTTTATTTTGAAGAATCACGTTGTGATTATTTTGTTTTTCTCACCGTCGTCTTTGTCGTTCGGCAGCTGATGCAGGAAGTTTAGGATGTTGATGAGAGAGACAAGCTGCTCGCTCACCTCGAACTGACAACACAGAGAAATCCAGAAATCTACGTCCCTGTCCAGAGACGCCTCCTACACACACGTTACACACACGTTACACACACGTTACACACACGTTACACACACGTTACACACGAATCAAGTGTTACTGCGGACAAGCAAGTGTAAGGCGAGTGTCAGGTGAGTCTTACCTTCTCGCTCACTGAGCTGGTGGTCTGCTCGGCGTGCAGCTTGAAAAGGAGGAGCATCATGACCCACAGGAAGCGGGTGGGGCCTAACGTGGTCATCAGCTGGGCAACGACGGGGAGCCGCCGGTGGTCGGGAACGTGAGGCAGCGCGTCGGCAAACACGTGCATGATCCTCGTCACCACAGCTTGAACGTGAGGTGACGACTGGTCGTCAGACAGCTGGTGAGCCTGAGGCGGGGGGGGGGGGTGACACTATTGTGAAATGATGTCGACGGCATCCCCCTGTCGGAGGCGATCATTGAAGCAGCGTTTCTCACCTTGATGAGCGCAGGTATGACCATTTCAACAGTCTTGTCGATGACTCTGAAGCTGTAGGCGTCGTCCAGACGCATTATGTTCGCTCCCATGAAGGTGAAGATGGGCATGATGTTGTGCAGGACTTTTTCCTGGAGGACGAGGACAATGAGGAGAAAATATAAGATTCTTAAAATCCTGTGACAGTGAACAAGTCCAAAAAAACAGTTCAGGCACAAACTCTCATTTACAGGCTCTGCTGTAAGATGAAAGGACAACTCTGATTTATGAAAATGTGCTTTGATGTTTTTGGGTATAAATGATCGACAGGAACAAAAATCTTTCCAGAAATAAAACAGAACCAAAAAGTGTCTGACAACATAGAGATCTGATTCCTGCAGAGACAACAGAGTCGAGCCGTCTCTGTTTGAGATGACGACTCACAGGGAAGATGGTGGCGGCGGTGCCCAGCAGCAGCAGAGCGTGGTGGTGAGTCTGCGGCATGTCAGTAGATCTGATGCACTGAACCACCAGCTCCACGCTGAACTTATCTTCCTCCAGGATGTCTGCAGAGAGCAAGCAGAGACAAGAGTCAGAGGGCTAAGACCGGAAACCATCAACTTCAATAACTGAGGTGTGGCTGACGTACCAGGCCCCACCAGTCGTCCATCAGGAGACAGTTTGTAGCAGACGTGGAGCAGACAGCTGAGCAGCAGCTGTTTGGTGTACTCCATGTTGGCGTGACCGCCTGAACATGGCTCCAGACTCCTGAGGAAAGAACAAAAAGGTCAGCCCTATGGCGCCCCACCTAGACAAACTCAAATACCAGTGCTGGTCCGTACCTGGAGAGCAGAGAGAACAGAACCGGCACCAACGTCTGAACTCGCTTCAGCTTCTTCTTGTGCTGCAGCAGCTCTAAGATCAGAGTGACTCTCTGCCACAGCACAACGCCACCCTCTGGACAAGCCTCGCTGCTCTCCTGAGGTTTCCTGACAAACAAAACAACTTTTATTTGGCTGGAACATCAGAATGTTAAAATGATGTTAAACATGAGATGTAACAAAACCAAAGGCCACGACACGTTCAGGGTCTGTGGAAAGAATCATAAGTGACACCTCCGGCAGAAGGAGGCATCTGATCCACGATCAGTGTAAAAAAAAAAACCTCACCTCAGACTCATTTTGCTCCTGCGAGTCTGCTGCACCGTCACACTGACTCTGGGCTTCTCTGGTGGAGACAGCTCATTGGCTACGAGCTGACTATCAACAGCAAGCTGAGGAGACAGGAACAAATAATACATTCATTAGAAAATCATTATTATTTTCATTATTAATCCTTTGTCTGTTAAATGGCAAAATCCTTACCCCTTTAAATATGCTGCTGACAGTGTTGGCCACCAGGGGGCTCTTGCTCTCCAGCAGCACGTCGAATATCACAGTCAAGAGTTTCTGCTGCACCTTCTCTTCTCTGAGGGCCGAGAAGAACGACTTCGTGATCTACAGGAGGAGGAGGAAGTAGAGGGTGAAGAAGACTGAACACTCTTCTTCTCTTCTATTTTTACATGATGAAACTTCTCCAGTTTATATTAGAATAAAACCTTCTGTGTTCAAAGTTTTCAGAAAATTCCAATTCTAAAATATAATCAAACATTAACAGATCTGAAGTTTTTAACTCGTTTGTATTTCTGTCGATCCTGGTTCAAACATCAGTTTCATACCTGGTTTCCTCCACATTATATTTCACACAAGTGTTTCTCAGGGTATAATAAGTTCAGTGGTTTAAACCTGGTTTCAACCAGTTACACCTGGACTGGCCACTATTTTTGGTTATAAATCATGTTGTAAATCATTTAGCTGATTTAACCCTGGTTTTGATCACAGATTGGATTAAACCAAGGTCAAGTTGCTCCCGACCTGTTCCAGAGCGCTGATCTGGCAGCTGGGGATGTCCGGGTGCGTCTGTGTCGACGTCTTCAGAGCTCTGATGAACAGATCCAGACAGTTCTGGTCCTCAACCAACATGGCGGCAGACGCCTCATTGTACTTCCCCAGGATGAGCTGGATGACCTGGGCTTCGTCCCGCAGTAGGGTTGGCGTGTCGGGGCCGCTCTGCTCCAGCAGCCGGTCGAGAACAGGAAGCAGGGCGGACAGGACCGACTGGGGGGGGGGTTTAGATATTAGATCTGTCTAAAGGAAAAGGTTTAGTTTAGCTGTACAGGCGAGTCTCTTACCTGTCCGTTAACGTGGCTCAGCGCTCTCAGCAGGATGGTGGCGCTGTATGACGGACAACATGGCGTCTGAACGCTCTGCAGCAGCTGCTGCATCGACGTCTGCAGCTTCTGCTGCAGCGTCTTCACGTTACACGACAAACTGTCCTCGTGAAAAACACCGAGCGCCTGCAGGGTTTCAAACACAGTCACAGGTTCACTGAGGCTGACATCCAATAAACACGCAGACCAAACAAAACAATAAACTAAATAAATGCTGAGACTCAGATTTAATTAAATCAATTAAAATACATTTTTTAATGACACTTTAAAACTGAACTGAGAGAAAATCTCAGGTTTTATTAAAATGTTCTATATTTTAGTGTTTTCTTTATTTTCTGTTTAAATCGTTCTCACCAAGCTCAAGTAGGCGGGGTCAGCGAGAATCTCCTCCGAGGTCTTCAGCAGCTTCTCCGTGATTGGCTGGAAAGGAGAGTCTGCTCCTGATAGGCTCTGCAGAGCGCTGAGCGCCACCCTCCGCACCTCACGAACCGGAGAGGTGAGACAACACAGCAATGACGGGACCACTGACACACACACACACACACACACACACACACACACA